AGGGAGAGGGAGAAGCAGGCTCCCTGCTGAGGAGGGGGGAGCCCAATGCGGGACTCTATCCCAGGACCCAGGGATCATGACCTGAGCCGAAGGCAGTTGCTTAACCAACTGAGCCACCCAGGCGCCCAGGAATTGTTTTTCTTATAGCAAAACAGTTCCGTGTTTTTCAGCATATTCAAATAATTGACCTCTTGATTATGAATTCATATATATTTTAAAAAGCAGATCTTCTTTTATCTTTTTATATCTTTATATTTTGGCACACTACTAGCCCAGTTATAGTCAACAAAGATACTTGAAAATAAGTTGTGTTAAACTTTTATAATTGGCATTTAGCTACTATTCTGAAGTAGTGAAGTTTTACCATATAAACAGTAATAGGTTTTACATATATGTATATATATGATTTGTATAGTAAATATTGCTTAATATGTATACATATATTTAATTTAGATGTGTTAAAGGAACTTTTTTTTTAGTTAATTTATAAGTATACTCTGATTTGTCTGTTTTACATTTCAGTCTTTTATATTGTGCTTTCGGAACACAGAATAGAGTTAACATATAAAGCAAACTCAGCTTCCAGATACTCAACCATTTATATGAAAGATATTAGAAATCTGTGAGTACTGTTTGACTCAGGTATCTAACTAAATTAGGAAGCAGGCAGCCACCTATCTCAAAAAAGCATTTTCTAGCCTGTAGGGTTCTTTGCAGGTATGAGGATTTTGAAGGAAATTATGCAACTAAAAAGAATAGTTTCTGCCCAAAAGAGCTTTGCCCTTCATTTCGGAGTCTCTTGTGTAAAATAAGGTTGAATCCACTTGTGCAATTATTCATAAGTAAGTTTATAAACCTAAAAAGTCAAATGATCAGACTAGTAGGAAGTAAAAGGACTTGGAGCTATTATGGTACTATCATGGCTTATCAGGTAAGTACTCATAGTTGATGTAAGTCAAAGAGCAATAACAATAAAAGGAAGGTTTTCTATAAAAGGGAATGATATGATTATTCATTTGGAGAAAAGAAACCAAGTACCGTATTGAATGCGGGTACATATATAAAATGTGGATTAATAAATAAATGACTTTAAATCATTGTCATGATTTTAAGAAGAAAATAAAGTTTCTGAGACAAAGATGAGTCACAGGGTGGCTGCATATGGATGTATAATTTGTACATGACACCGGTATCTAGCTGAGAGCTGGGATAGATTCTGCTGTCCCAGCCCAGTGCTCATGAGGCTATGTCTGTCCATGGGAAGTTTTTCTTTTAATTGCCTTTTTAAAACATACAAGGGCTAGTGGAGTAGTCATGGTGAATCACTTCTAAGTTCTGATCAGAGAGGACATCTAAATGACCCTTGAAACATGTTTTTGGGTCCTAACATGGAAACTGATTAACAGGAGAAAAATATTAAGAGTTGTGAAAAGTGTGAGTTAAATGATCTTTCTCAGCCTCCAGCCAAGATTGTTCTTCCTCTGTTTTTTCACTGTGTACACGAAGGACTATTACAGAATCCTCAAACTAAGTTTAATTTTCTTTAACAGTGTTTTTTGGGTAGGGATAAGAACAATGTTTTACAAGAGGGTAATTTCAAGATAAAAGAATTGGGTACAAAGGCAAAGTAATTCAACTGTAACATTAAATTAATGTGATCTTAAAATGGTTCCCAATTAGAGATACAGGCTTCCAGTTATGGAATGAATTAAGTCACAGGTATGTCAGGTACGGCATAGGGAAGTCACTGGTATTGTAATAGCATTGTCCGGAACAGATGGTTGGTACACTTGTGAGCATAGCATAATGTATAGACTTGTCCAATCACTATGTCCTATGCCTGAAATTATTGTAACATTGTGTGTCAACTGTATACTTCAATTTAAAAAATAAAAAATAAAAAAAAACCCTAAGGACAACCCATCACAAAAAGTCAGTGAGACCTTTCCAAATAAGGCAAATTCTTAAGGTATAACCAATCAAATAACTTCCTTGCTTTGCTTCCACTTCTCTATAGAAGTCTTCTAGCTCCTGCAGGTGGGCAGAGCACTCTAACCACTTCCAGTTTGGCATAGCCCGATTCAGATTGATTTTTGCTCAAATAAACTCTTAAAATTAAAAAGAAAAATAGTTTCCATTTAACCCAGTGCCAACTAACAAGCATATTTATTTATTGAGAAATAATTTGTAATAAATAATTTGATAATTAAATTGATTAAAATAAATGGATCAAGATAATTACCTTAATGAAAATTTATATTATAGGATATTATTTATTGGTAAGTTATTTACTGTATTTATTGAGAAAAATTACATGACAGGCTTCTACTAGGTGGTATAGATTACAGATGAAAGAAGACACAATCTCTGCCCTCAAAGAGTGTTCTGTCTAGATTGTACAGACATACATAGGCAAGTGTTTTCAATTTTCCAATCAGTGAAATACAAAAGTATTTAGACTCCATCTCTAGAAAATTTTGCTCTGGTCCTTTGGCAGGTCTTTTTTATTTTGTTAAGTTTTTATTGAAATATATTTATAGGAAAGTACACATAAGTGTAACTCAAATGATTTTTCTCAAGCTGAACACATTTGTGAATGCTTCCAAATCAAGAAATAACATTATTAACATACTAAAAGCCCACTCATGCTCTCTTATACTCACTATTCTGCCCTAGTGGATAACCATTACCCTAACTTCTAACAATATAAATTTGTTATGCAAAGAGTGTGTTATTTTTAGACTTTTTACTTGGAGATAATGTCTTTTTTCTTTTTAAAATATTTTTATTTTTAAAATATCTTATTTTTTTTTAAGATTTTATTTATTTATTTGAGAGAGAAAGAATGAGACAGAGAGAGAGCATGAGAGGGGGGAGGGGTAGAGGGAGAAGCAGGCTCCCCGCCTAGCAGGGAGCCCTATGCGGGACTCAATCCCAGAACCCCAGGATCATAACCTGAGCCGAAGGCAGACGCCCAACAGACTGAGCCACCCAGGCGCCCCTATTTTTATTTATTTTTAAAGAGAGTGTGAACATATGCACATGCCCGGGGTGAGGGGGTACAGAGGGAGAGAGAGAATCTCCAGCAGACTCCACTCCCAGCATGCAGCCTGACACTGGGGCTTGATCTCAGGACCCTGAGATCATAACCTGAGCTGAAATCAAGAGTCAGACGCTTAACTGACTGAGCCACCCAGGCGCCCTTACTTGGAGATAATTTCAAGCTTACAGAAAAGGTGCAAGAATAAGAGTAGTACAAAGAGGGATGCCTGGGTGGCTCAGTTGATAAAGGGTCTGCCTTCGACTCAGGTCATGATCCCAGGGTCCTGGGATTGAGCCCCGTATCAGGCTCCTTGCTCCACAGGGAGCCTGCTTCTCCCTCTCCCTCTGCCTATCGCTCCCCCTGATTGTGCTCTGTCTCTCTTTGTTTCTTTCTCTCTCTTTCTGACAAGTAAATAAATAAAATCTTTTAAAAAAAAAAAGAGTAGTACAAAGAACACCCATACATCTTTTGCCCGGATTCGCCAGTTGTAAACACATTATTCTTCTTGCTTTATCATTGTGTGCTCATGAATTCTCTATCTCTCTGTTTGTATGTATTTTGCTCCTATGTGTGTTTTTCCTAAGAATAGAGATATTCTAGTTGCTGTAAACTTTAGTAAATTTAATATATGTACTTTACCATCCATACTCTAATTTTATCAAATGACCCTAAGTAATGCTTTTATAACATTTTTTTGCAGTACAGGATCCTAAGATCAGGTTTTGACCCTTAAATCTGACAGATCAAGACTATAGTCCAGAGCCATGATGTTAACTGGAGTAGGATCCCAAATCACTTACTCCCTAGGTCAGTCCTTTTGATCATTATGAAACGTCATTGTTTATTTCTGATAGCTTTTTTCCATTTAAAAAATAA